GTGACGGGTCTAAACTAGACGCGAATACGTAATAAATGGGTTAATGGCACTAGAGAGCATCGATCGTCGCCGAGGGCGACGCTGTTCCTGTTTTAAGGCGGACGAATGCAGGGTGAAATTGTGTGTTAGCCAGCGGGGAAATGTCGTTGAGATTCGGGCGTGCAATCGAATCGAGTTAGCGCGAGATTCTACGTCTGATGTTGACGCTGAGTGGTTGCGATGTCGACGTTGAAGTGACAGGGGTGAACGAAAGGGTGAGATGCTTATTAGAGAATTATGACGTCTTCTGTGCCCGCCATTCGGATTTCTTCTTTCGTCGTTGGTGTGTTTTGCGTATTTTTTGGTTAATTTCTACGTTTAAATTCTGATACGATTTGTTTTTTTTAAATCATTTAAAGTACTCCTACATGATGTACGAATTTTTTTGACTAATTCTATTCGAGATTTCCTAATCTTCCTTTTCTTAGCTCATTTTCCCAAAAACTTAAAACTCCCCAAGATACAATATTAAGATTAATCATGAGTCTACTTATATATTCGCTGATGTCCTTTATTCTATTTAATTTCGTTTCTCTATTTTTCCAGATAGGTGTCGTATATTTAGCACATGTATTTTGCGTATTTCTTGGTTAATTTCTATGTTCAAATTCTCATACGATTTTTATTTCAGATTTCCAAATCTTCCTTTTCAGAGCTCATTTCCTCAAAAAGTTAAAAATCCCCCAAGATACACTATTACATTTAACTATAAATCTACACGTTTATTCACCGATGTCCTTTATTCTATTCAATTTCATTTCCACAGTTTTCCAGAAATTTGTCTAGCACCTCTCGTTACAAAGCAAACCTATCACATCTTTGAACAGAGAAGGTCAAACAAACGAGCAAATACTCGTAACAAATACCACAAACAATCTCCTCCCTTATCAAAAATTTCCCTCAACGCAGTACCATCACGCATCTACCGTCTAAACCATTTCCAAAGGAAAAAGACCTCTCTATCGAGAGAACAGAGAATCCTCAACTAACGATCGTCCCAAGTTTAGAATGCTCCCGCTCGGGAAGCATAAACATCTTACTCGTTCGTCAGAAGAGCGCTCGTGCCTCTTTTACGCGAAATTGCCTATCAACCCGCGCTTCCGTCGACTCGACAAACTGTCAACGCGATCCTATCGACGGCGAATCCTCGCGGGGAATCCTTCGAAAGGGGGGGTAGAGGCGGCTACTCGACTCTACCGAGATCGACGAGGTCGCTTTTCCGCGTTCTTCGTCACGTTCAGGTGAACAGATCGATAACAGAGCGGGCCCGGGGTTCTGGTATTCTCGATGCAAGGCAAAGCGTCCGGGAGATGGGAAAGTTACGGGCACGGAAATAATTTGATAATGTCCGGCAGGCCGCGTCCACCAGGACGGCTAGATAAATCAAAGTGACTGGCAGCCGTGATACCTTGAAGAAGATCCCCAGGTAGTATCTCTTCTCGCCGAGCTTCAGCAACGGCATCGTCCATCTTGACGCGGCAAGGCTGCTGCTGTGCTCGTCCACGCAGTTCGGACAGTCATCTGTGAAAACAGCAGAAGCGTGAACGTGAATTTGCTGCTGATATATATGGCTGAGGCGGTCTGAGGTCTTTATAAGGGTTCCTGTGCACCTTCGGGCTGTGTTTCCAAGGGATTTAAAGGGACGAAGCGGCGTGGAGGATGTGAGACAGATTGGGTAGCTGATTTTGTAATTAGTTTGGTTTCAACCCTTTGAACTCCTTTGTCGAGTGTGACTCGACATCAACTTTATTCACAAGTACTTCTATGTGGAGTCACATTTTTAAATTGCCAGTTTAAATATATATCGTATTTCGCAATATTTTTCTCTTAGAGATGAAAAGAAAATTTTGAGAAAATTCGGAGTTCAAAGGGTTAAGGAAAAATAGATTGTTTAAGGAACTGCATGATGGGAAGATTTGAATATGTTTTTGGATTGATTCAAAGCCACCGAATTTCTATCGCCATGGTATTAGTAAGTTGCCAGAAAAATGGCAAAAAGTCATTAACAATAATGAAAATTATTTGGATTCTTCATCTCTTTTCATTCTTCTTAAATAAAATTCTGATCATACCCAAGAATCGGGAAGAATTAATTTCCGGATGATGGAATCCACATCAGACCGTTGTAAGTACCACAGTTCACAATTTTTTAAATAAAATTGCTATTACTGTTACTATTTCAAAAATTACCTTGTACCGGTAAATATTCAAAACACTCATTCACAATTGTCAGATCAGTGACTTAAAGCTAGTCGATGGCTTTAAACGCGCTTTTAATCGTACAAGTTTCCTTAAAACTTGTGTAAAATGTTCAGAAAAGAATTATAGAGTTCTGAACGACCTCGCTTCTTCTAAATTCAATCTTAATTTCCCTCTGATTAAATCGACAAGCGTACTTCACCGACGTTCGAGGAAAGATACAGTCTCCTAAAATCAGAAGCTTCACTCTTCAATCCTAAACCGAACCTCACATCTTGCAAAGTAAGGATGAAAAAATATTTCATCCGACATGAAAAACACGTACATACGTACAATTCACAAATTACCGAAACGTTCGAGCATAATCAGCATCGCCGTTCAAACAATACCAATACTCCCTGCCCAATTCTCCCAGTGAATAACATAAACTCCTAAATCTTCATTCACCGAACAATATATCAGGTGTCTCTGTCGGCGTACAAATTAATCCAGAATGATACACATACATCATACAAGCGAATTACTCGAAAGCTGCGAGCTTTCCTTTCACAATTCAAGCATAACTAATGCACTCATCTTCCCCCCTCTCTCTCATACAAAATTAATTTCCTCGAACTTTATCAAGCTCATCGATCTTCGTGGCGAAACCACGTCCACTTTGAAAGACAGAAACAAACAGATTACTTTATTCCATCCTCCACAACAGCACCATCAATAACCACGTTTACCAGTATTTATCTCTCCCCTCTTAATCGTCCACGTAATACGTCCCCCTTTCTTTCTGTTTCTCAGTGGCGTCGCGAGAAAACGCAATTACAGACGTTTTTCCTCGGAGGATCGAGTGAAAATTCCGTTATTAAAGGCACGTCCGCGTAGGCCACTTTTGGCCGTACTTTCACGAACCATTATATCGCGGCATAATTCTCGCTAAGGGCGAAAGTTTTAATGTTCCCGGCGATAAAACACGCCTATGGAAATGAGGAACTTAACGGGAACTTCGGGATTATATAGACTGTAAAATGAACGTGATTCCGACCGCCGCGACGTCGCGTAAATAATACCGCCTTGAATCCATAGGCACGGATACGCCGTTTCGAAGGGCGACCGCCGAGGAAAATCGTCGGAAAATGTGGATACTCCTTCGCGAGAGACTTCCGCTGGCAAGATAACGCAGCGTCGGTCACATAAATCTAAAGAAATAAGAAAATAAAAAATGTGGAATACGTAGGTAAGTTTGTTTCTGAGAAATTCGAGGTTGACGATTTCAAGGTTGATAAATTCGCGATTTTCCAAAAAAAAAAAATTCACGCAGAATGTAATTATGTAGATTCTCAGAAAATTGAGAATTTATCTATCACTCTTCGATGTAAAAGCGAATAATGAATTTCTGATCTTTTTTAAAGGAATTCTTAAGTCTCTACCAAAAGAATTTTAAACAAGAATGTTAAATAACGAAACCACCTTCACGAGAGGACTACGCGTTGTTTTGACTTCGTTAACGTCTTGGAAGCTGTAAGAACCGTGAAAGAAGCGATTATATTTTTTTACTTTGGTTTACCGTTACCCCCTAAGGAGACCTGCTTTAACGATCTTCTGTTAATAAACGGGCCAACTTTTTAATTAGTACGAAAGAACCAAGTTAATTAGCGTAAAGCGTTAGGATAAGACAAAACCATCGAATCCGCTCTATTTTTCACGAAATATCTGCTTCATTGTAAGATCATTGTAATTAAAAATTCTCCACGGTTAAACGAAACGCGGGGAAAAGGAGAGGATAAGGTGAGATCCTCTCCTCACCCTCGAGGCAAGCAATTACCTGGCTCGTGTTACGTAATCTCGAGGAGAAATTTTCAGTGGCAGGTGCAATCGATCGCCGTAAATTTCTCTTCGATTACGTTAGAGCCTTGTGCTCCTTTACAGAATCTACCGTCGCTTTATTAAGGCTCGACGTCGTGTAAATATTATAATTTCGTTATTTCCTCGTGCCTGACATCGACCTCGTTGCGCAAGCTTGTCCAATTTAAATATAAATAAACCGGTCCGTGCTTCAAGTGCAATTATTCGTAACACAAATCCGTGCAAGTGTTACAATTACTCTTTCGAATCGTGTAATTTTTCTCCTGTTCCAACGGGTTCGATCTCTGTCACTGTAAAAATAACCATCTGATAATAACGATCATTTTCGACCAATTACACGAGCTTTATTCTCCAGGACAAACAATTCGTGTGTATTGTCTCGCTTGAAATTAATAATTATTCAAACATTAATTAGTGGAATTATCGGAATAAAAGTTTATTATGGACAATATGTCGTTGAAATTGCAATTTTGTCGTAATTTTGCACAGTTTCAACGAGTACAATCTTCCATCGTAAAAACAACCACGATTTTCGACCAATTACACAAGCTCCATTCACCAAAACAAACAATTTACGCGTATTGCATCGCTCGAAGGTAATATTTATTTAAAGACTAATTAGCGGAATTACAGGGACGAAATTTTCTTACGCAAAACATATCGTCGAAATTACGAAACAGGTAATTTTTTCCAGTTTCAACGAGTACAACGTTCCATCGTAAAAGTAACCAGCTAATAATAACGGTCACGAATTTCGACCAATTACACAAGCTCCATTCACCAGAACAAACAATCTATGTGCGCCGCCTCACTTAACTGCCCTTCGGCGAACACACAAAAGCGCCTCCTTGAACGAGCAAACATTCCTCGTATCTCCGCAGAAACAAGCTCACGAGCCGCTGAATCTCGATGACCGTTCGCCAAACTAACTCGCCATCGCGTGTCCCGTCGCTGTAACGAAAAATCCAATTTCCGAAACACGGCCGTGAGTATCCATCGGCCTAATGAATACGCCGTGGGGAACGGACGTTTCCAAATTCCCGCGGGTGGCGAGAGAGAGGGAGGGTTGAAACGTTCCATAAGACAATTTCTCAACGAATAGGGCCATGCATTTTAACAAGAAGCAGCTCGATTCCGCCGCGGGTGTACACGATCGAGCCCATTCATTAACCGTCCAATCATCCCTCGTGCCGTTCCGATTAATCCATCTGAGGGAAAGTGTTCAGAAATTCTGAAATATTCATTTTCCTCGGCCATAGTCTCAGATCGAGGAGAATTCGCGTAATCGAGACGTTATGCAATCTGTGTCACCTGAGATGGGCCGAGGACCACTCGAGTTAATTAGAAAAAGTAATCTCGGGTAGAAAAATAGGTATAGGGGAAATTAGATCTGTTCTCGTCGCGTATTGACTTTTCAAGAATTTTAGATTGGGTTTCAATGACTAATTTAGGTTTGTGACTGAAATCGAGGGATTTTTGTAGCATGATAGTTAGCTTCGATTGCCCCGAGAATCTCTGAATATTTATAAAAATTACTGTAAATGTATCTCTGTCTAGAATTGCCCTAAATGTATCCCCGTCTAAATTTGTAAAACTCTAAAGTTGCCCTAAATGCGTCCCAGTATAAATTTGCCCTAAATGTATCCCAGTCTACAACTGCAAAACTCTAAAGTTGCCCTAAACGTATCCCAATATTTTCTAAAACTCTAAGGTTGCCCTAAACGTGTCCCAATATTTTCTAAAACTCTAAGGTTGCCCTAAACGTATCCCAGTATAAATTTGTAAAACCCTAAAATCGCTCTAAACGTATCCCAGTCTAAAACTCTACGCTACAAACCGATTCCCCAAATTCCTTTAGCAAGAAGTCCTCAGAAATTCAAAAGAATAAATACAAAACCACACAAAACACTAATTATTCTTCTCACAAGAGAAACAAACAACACAAACTCCTCTTCCTTAAAGGTAGCCCGCGTATCAAATTAACGCGACAGTATCGATTCTCGAAACTTCACTCCACCTGACAATGTTCCACTTCATTCAGAACCTGTACCCAGCCATACGATCCAAGCAAGCTCGATAATGGAGAAAAATGTTGCGACGAGAAGCTGGTCCACAAAGGCGGTCTCTCCCCTTGTTGTCGCGAAGAAAAGGCGCGCAGACGCGACCGTAGACGAGGCAAAGCGCCTTCTAGGTTTCGCCGCCGGACTAATTAGAACGGGCGTTCTGCATATTTTAATAATCGCTTCGTTAATCGCCGCGGCGCGGTCCACGACGTCCCGGAATACGTCTCCTCGCATTAATATTCAACGGATCTCTTAATAGACACCGACCGCCTCTTACTTCCTGTCCCACTTTTTTTTCTCCTCCTTCTCGCGCGAAAAAGCCTCTCCGCGGGACCGGTCGTTCCGCCGAGTTTCAATGAAAATATGTACCAAGCGAGGGGCGAAGAGACAGGAAGGGTGGGC